TTCTGGCACTTGGGTGGTCCTATGCACCACGGGGTACAAAGCCACCCCAGACCTCCACTCACAAAAAGCCAGGAGAACTGACAACAGAGCCATCTACACAAGTGGCTCTCAGACCTCCAGTGAGGGAAGGCCGCCGAGTGGGCAGTGGGGACCAATGCGTGGGATAGGACCACAAGCTACACCCACGGTTCATGCACACCCTCCTCATGGGCGAGCTTCCCCTGGCCCTTTAAACCTGGTGCAGTGACTCCAGCCCCAAAAATGTCAAGTCATTTCTCGTGTACCAATATTGAAATAGTATCTCATTTCTTCCACTGCAGTAAACATGCACAGAGTAAGAAAGCCTGCGCTCTGATGAGACTTACGAGGTGTAGATTTCTGTGCAGACCAGACATGTAACCTTACTGAGCAGCCGTCAGGACCCCTAAATATGCTGGAACTGGGACAATACCAGGGGTCGGCTTTCTGGAAAACAGCTAGAAAGAAGGTCCGAAGGAAGGGAAAGATCTGTCCGGTTCTAACAGGACCTAATGTTCCCCTGATTGTAACACAGTACCAGCAGGGCAGAAAGCCACAGTGTGTGCCCTATGGGTGTCTCCCTAGAGAGTGTCTTAAGGTTTGTACTGCTGTGATAAAACCATGACCAAAAGCAACTTGGGGGGAGGGGTCATTTCATCTTCCAGCTAGCAGTCCATCGTTCCGGGAGGTCAGGGCAGGAGCCTGGAAGCAGGGACTGAAGCAGAGGCGGTGAAGGAGTACTGCTTTCTGGCTGCTCCTCATGGCTTCTTCCGCCTGCTTTCTTATAGCAACCAAGACCAACAGCACAGAGGTGGCACTGTCTGTAGCGAGCTGGACCCTCCCACACCAATCTGACAGAGGCATTTTCTCAAACTGAAGTTACCTCTTCCAAAACGGCTCTACCATGTGCCAGCTGACAAAGACTAGCCAGCACACAGGCTACCTGCAGACGCTAACTGCACTCTGTTGTGCTAATTCAGAATATCTAAGGTCAAGAAAGTGGCCATGTACTATGCTGGAGGAGACAGTCCAGACCTGGACAGACAGACACTCCATCACAGACACTGGCCACTCACACCAACATCTTTCTATCTCTTTCCTGGGCAGTATAATGACTGCCTTTTCATTTCCTCTGGGGCAGGCAGTGAGGGAGGAAACCTGGGAGCTGGCACACCTCTTTTCCTCTCCTGCTGGGAAAATGATGGACATTCAGACTCAGCATTCTTACCAAAGCAATCCTCAATCTTTCAAACCAAGAAGTGTGTTCTGCTGGGAGAAAACTGGCAAGAAGAAACTCCCTCGGTAGCACAAAAACATTGGTCTAGGCTCTGTAAGGAGGCCATGGAGGACACCTATACAGACAAGAACTGCCCTTTCAATGGTAACGGCCCCATCCGAGGACGGACCGCTGTCGTCTGCCCGGACTGTCTTACATCCACAAGTGCAATGGCCTTGAGAAGCATCACAAGAACACGTCTGTGCACCTGTTCCCATCTCAGGGATGTGTAGCTCGCGACACTGTCACCATGGGAGCACGATGTGTTCAGGGCCACCAAGGCTGCTGGCCCCACGCAGCAGTTTCTGAAGTTCTGAGAGGACTCTGGCCAACTTTCACGAATAAAGTTATTTCTCAACTTGAAAAAAATAGAGGAAGAAGAAGAAGAGGAGGGAGGGGGAGGGGAGAGGGAGGGGGAGGAGGGAGGGGAGGAAGAGGAGAAGGAGGAGGAGAAGGAGGAGGAGGAGGAAGAGAAATGCGAGGTGTGGAATGCACCCAGCACACTGAACCTTCACCAGAATAGGTCCTTCCCAGAACTCCTCAGGGACCTTTTCAGTATTAACTTCTGGTAAATCTTGTGGGTAAAACACCCTTAACAACTTTTAGGAACTGATTTAAAAAAAAAAAATTAAAGCCCTCCCTGTAAACTCAGGATCTGAACCCCAAATGAGATAATGACCGCGTGTGCCGACACTGAGGGTCTGAAAAGCACACACTGAACTTCCTTTTTATCGGGGTCTCACATGTGACTTGCTTTAGAATTGGGACGACGCCAGAGAGCAGAGAAATGGTTCTCAAAGAGCAGGACAACCCACCTTAGCACACTGACAGTGAGCTTTCAGACATGAAGTCTGAGTCATGCAGCTGAGGTAAGCCCAGCAGGCTCCCTAGCCCTGCAGTAATCTTCTAAGTGGGCAGCTGAGAGGCCACCTGTGGTGGAGCACCCGCGGGAGGATCGGAGCAGAGCCCTGGCTGTGACCATCAGAGACCCTCAACACAGAATCTGGTAGGCTGGCCAACTTCCCCAAATACAGCATCAGGATCCTGCTGCACCCCAACCACACCGACCATCTGACAACTCCACAGCAGCCCTGGTCCTGCCTCCGCCCACCCTGTCCCGTTAGTCCCTGTGCACTGTGGTACAAAGGTTAGTACAGCAGCCGTGGGAGAAGGAGGCAGAGGCGTGTGGCTAATATCCGAGCTGGTTTACTTTTCCCCAAATTAAATACTTGAACAGCAGTGAATTCAGTTGAAATGGTATGTCATCACCTTTCCGACTTTCCCAGGCCTCGCGTATTCACCTAAGGGAAAGCCTGGATGCCGCGTGCTGTCTTTCTCCTTATGCTACTGTGTGGCTTTACCTGATTGGTCTAACAAAGAGCTGAGTGGCCAATAGCTCAGCAGAAGGAAGGATAGACGGGGTTGGCAGGCAGAGAGAATAAATAGGAGGAGACATCTGGGAGGAGAGGGAGTGAGAAAAAGAGGGGGGGACGGCAAGGGCCAGCCCAGCTACACAGCCAGGCAGAGTAAGAAGTAAAGAGAGGGACAGAGCCTAGAGGAAGGTAAAGGGTAGACGGGGTAACTTAAGACAAGCTGGCTAGAAAGAAACAAGCCAAGCTAAGGCTGGACATTCATAATAAACCTCTGTGTATTATCTGGGAGCTTGGTGGCAGCCCCCCCCCCCCCAAAAAAAAAGAGTAAAAGAAAAAGAACCCAACCCCACAGGCCTTCTGTCTGGGGAATGCGTTGCCCACAGCGGGGTGCGTCTTCCCTCGCCAGTTATTCTAAGATCATCCCCAGCCCACGCCTACAGGCCAGCCTGACGTAGAGGGGCCTCAGTGAGGTCTCCCGGGTGATCGTGTCAAGCTGACAATTAAAACCAGCCATCACAATGATCATAATTTTTAACCTTGGAAGAAAAAAAAATATTCTACAGTTCTATGACTTGATTATAGATTATCTGGTATATAAGAAGCCCTAGATTCAATCCCCAGGAAAAAGAAGAGACGGGAGATTAGTTCACTCTAAGTGAAAATTCTACTTTTTCCTGACCCTATCTCCAAAATTTCCTAACTTTAGATGAATATTTGCTAAAATATAAGCTAACTGGATTAGTAGTAAAGAAAGGCAAAAAAAAAAAGTTTTACAGCCACCCATAACCATACAGCAGCAAATAGCCAAATTCTGTAAGATTCTTCCACACCTCACCAGCAACCCCCGTGAGATCAACCAGGGCCATCGAAGGCTGCACACGCCTGGACATCCCCCGCCCCCAGCACGTGCTCTCGTGGAGGCGCCTTCGTGTGCCCTCGGGACACTCACTGCCAACACTGTCACCACACATGCAGGAGTGAGGAGGGCGGGGAAGGACAGCTTTCACTAATTCCCAGTTCACAAACGAGGAAGCAGGGATTAGAAAGAAAACAGGCTCTAGCAGCCCCACACCAACATGAATGCTGGCGAGGTTCGAGCCCACTGCCATCCAACCCTAGAAGTTACCATTTTCAGTTCCAAAGCCGCATAAACCTGGCAAACACAGACTGCCACTCTGCAACAAGAGACTAGCATTACCTCCTAATTCTCATTTCCTAATACTCGTTTTGGTGAACTGAGGGGGTCTCAAAATTTTTGACCTTGGATGTTTCCATAAGAACCAAACCCTCCCCTCCCCTTCACACCAGAGCACATGTGTCCAGCAGAAAGCCAGAGGACAGCCGGACTCACCTCTGCCATCTTCCTTAGCAAACACTCGCTTCTACATAGGATAGGAAGTTCTGGCTTCCACAGAAATCAAGAGATGTTTAAGTGTTGTTTAAGAGATGTTTAAATACATCTCATTTCAAGGACTCCACTTCTGTGAGCTCAGCGACACACATGCCTCTCCAGGGCCTGAACATAGGAGTCGCCCTGAGCTCTCCCATGATGGGATGACCATAGGAGATCCACCATGACAGCTTCCACGCAGGGTCAGGCCACATGAATGCAGCAGTTCCCAACCCTAATGTTGCAGCCCTTAATACAGTTCCTCATGCTGTGGTGACCCCAACCATACAATTATTTCCAATGCTACTTCACAACTGTAATTTTGCTCTAATGATCCTAATGTAAATATCTGTGTTTTCCGGTGTGAAAGGGTTGTTCAACCCCCAAAGGGGTTGAGACCCACATTATATTACTATTAACACAACTTCACCATTGAAAGAATGGGGAAGGCCAGCGACCCTCCGTAGTGTCCCACTACCGTCCCTTCTGCTTGACCTGATTATTCACCTGGCTTCTTACAAGCCGAGGGTCGGCACATTAGCTGCCCCGCTACCTCATCAACACGATCAACTCTGCAGCATGGAAGCAGCACCAGTGTACACACAGCTGACAGCTATGAGACACGCGGGCTAGGGTGGCAGGAGGCTCTGTGGCCACTCACAGCCACCCTACGAGTGATCTGTGGCTACTGTCATAAATTAATGAACAGTTTCAACAACAAAGTCCCCTCAGCTTCTTCTCTGAAACAGAATGTCAACACCAACTGCTTTCACCAAAAATAAAATCCGGTCAGTGGCATTTTCGATGATAACAGTGCCATCAAAGGCATGTCTTTTGAACGCAAAGGTCAAAGAATCTCTCCTTGCTCTGGAACCTGCTGTGTTAGAGTCCTCCGCGTCCGTCAGTGCAGCACAAGGGGAAGCAGCGTTATTTTTAAGCTCACCTTCAGATAGGATCCATAGTATTTGGTTACGTATGGGCTGTCGCACTGACTCAGCACTGTGATCTCTTGTTGAATGTCCTCTATCTCATCTTCAGCTTCTTCCAGATCAATGATCTTTATGGCAACCACTTTCTGAGTCCGATTGTCAATGCCTTTGAACACCTCACCGAAAGAGCCCTTTCCAATTTTCTCCAGCTTGGTAAAAAGCTCCTCTGGGTCCGCTTTCAGGTTCTGCAGGAGAAAAGGGAGGAGATGTCAGAATTCCCAGAGTCACAGCGGGTCCCTACAATGGTGTGTGTGTTCCCAGGGCCACAGCCGGACCCTCCCTCTTCCCAGAATGGTGTGTACAGGGCCTGGGAGGGAGGGACATTCATTCTGCTTTCTGTGACAAGGACCAAGCTGCTGTGACTACGGTTTTCCAGGGTCAGGATCTAAAAGTTCTAGGTTGTATCTACACATACGGGTTAAACAAACACTGTAAGTGTGGGACAAGAACAACGCAAACTTTGAATAAAGAAGGCAAAGCTCGAAGTCTATACTGAAATGTACCAGGATAACTCTTTAGCTACTTTAAAAACTTGATCTTGGGCTGGCACTGATCCGCGGTAGAAGGCCTGCCTAGTATGTGTGAGTCCCTGGGTTCAGTAGGCAGGGAGGGAAGAGGTGAAGTCTGCTCCAAGCAAAAAAAATTCACTTTTTCTCAACCATCTCCAGCATGTCCTAACACCAGATGAACATCTGCTGAACTACAGGTGAAACAGCTCTCACCTAACAGGGAGGGGAAATAAAACCACAGCCTAATTCTAACAGACTGTTTCCACCCCCAAATAAATACAGTCCTACTTGTCATTTACAGCTATTCTCTTGGCCAGAACAACGGTCAGATCCCCCCGCCCACAAGGACCTAACCACTAAAATACATTTAGAGCACTCAAGCATGAGTCAGCCTGCAGGAGCCACTACATGCAGCACCCATGTCCTAACGATAATCTGGATGCTGGGTCCCAACACCAACACAGCCCTGTCCCAGGGCTCTCAGCAGGGGCAGTCATACTTGGAAACAGTATGGGGGGTCTGTGTCAAACAAGGGACAGGACATAGTCCTGCCCAGAGCAAAATACCAGTGACATCCAAAACCTGTAACTCCCAAGGACGTTAGAAGCCCCAAAGCCAGTCTGGTAAACACATTTTCCCACTGAAAGAAGAGGATGCCGGCTGATCCTTAAAAGTCTATTATTAATCCTTCAAAGAAATCACATTCTTGGGGGAGGGCAAGAAAGAGAGCAAGGAGGGGGGCTGAGAAGGAGGCACGAAAGAAGGTTATCATGGAATCACTGAGCGGTGACAAGGTAGGTCAAAGGCACAGGACATGCCAACACCAGCAACACACAATGACAATGACCTTGCTGTCACTGGGTGCCAGCCACTCACAGGCTTTCAGAGTTGAAGTTCCAAGTATCTGGCTTACAATGGTGTAACTTGGGAGCCTTGCTGAGCTACACCGTATAACAAGAGCCAGGCACTAATAATCACACGGAGGCAGAGGGTATGCACTCACATACAGCTAAAATAAGTCTACATGCTGGACACGGTACACACGGTGTGAAATGTGCCATGGAGTTACCACAGAACACACGGAAGGGACTGCCCTGTCACACACAGGCTTTGGGTCATGACCTCCTTGGCTCACAGGAAGCTAAATGCACTCAACCCCATTCACCTTCCTTTGTGCTTGACACACAGCACTCCGTGGTTTAGCTGGGTGATGGACAGAGCAGCCCTGACCCGAACAACTGCTGTCTCCAGTTCTGCCACCAGCTCCAGCACCTTTCAGGCACTCACAAGTTTCTCTAAGACCCTTAATTTGCCAAGACAGTCTGAGAAAGCGCTCAGATCTGAGGGTAGTCTCCTGAAGTGGGGGCTGTTTTGAAAGCTGGTAGGAAACTCTAAAATTTCCTCCATTTTTAAACTTGCCAGGTTTACTAGGCAAGCACTCTTCAGAATCATTTCTGGGAATATCCCCAAAGGATGCTGGAGAACGCGGGTGGGGCAGCATCTTGCATCCAGCTCAGCTGGTACCCTGCTCCCTCCCACATCACAGGAGCCAGGAGCAGACTGGGTGGGGGCACCCACGTCCCTCCTCCAGAGGGGCAGCTGCTGTGCACTGCAGCAGCCCCAAGCCTCTTACCTCCCTCCCTCCATGAGGAAGAGGACTGGCCTTCCTTTTCTTCAAGGCTGAAGCTAATCTCGGGACTCTGGAATCCATCTCTGTGCAAAGCTTCACCAGTAACCCTTCGGGCAGCTCTCCTTAAAGCTATCCCTGTCTACTGGCTCCTTGCCCCAGGCAGCACGCTCAGGTTCCTCCAACTTCGGACAGACGAGAAGCACCCCATTTGGCCTCATCAGTTCCCCCACTTCACATGTTTCCCTGCTGAAGATTCCCAACTGCCCTCTGCGCCTGCCTGCCCTGTCCACGTAGTCTGGCAAGCTGGTCACCAATGATGCAGCAACCTCCCTGGAGCCCCATCAGCCACGCCCTCTGCCCCCCTGTAACCTGGCCTCCACAGCCTGCCCTCAGCTCTTCTTCCAGCCTCTGGTGCCAAAGGAATCTTCACACTGGCCCTCAATCCAGCAAACCGCTGAGTCCTCGCACAACCCTCCTCTCCCACACTGTCGTAGGTTCTAGACTAAGCAGAGGAAGTTTCGGGGCCAGGCCTCAGTCACCTCTATATCCTAGCAGCCATACCAAGGGTGGCATGAAACTGAGAGTTAATGTCCCCTGAGCAGTAAGAAAACCTGGTTCATGTAGACACCAACCAGACCCACATTAGAAATCACACAGAATAACCTCTCTCTGAGACCGTCCCCTGACGCCCTTAGAGAAGGCTCCTGAGAACTGAGGGCAAAGCCTGGACACAGCAACTGCTGGCCTGCTGACTCTTCAATCCTTATGTGTAAACGTTGGTACTTCCTTTGCAGAGTTTTTAAAAAATAATAATAATTTACAGAAAACCCTCCCAACACCAAAGAGGCCAGTGAGAGACACTGTTACTAGGTTACCCGCCTAAGAGTCCAGCCTGCCCTGTACACATCAGCCAGCTCCTGAGCACCACCTGAAGTCCACAGGACAGTTGATAGAGTGACAATGGAGGCCACAGGGACCGTCTCCCAGACCTAGTCTCAGGAGGAAGCAATCCGTGCAGACCGCCTGTCTCGCCACTGTTGGCTAAGATGATGGCACCTCAGGTCACAGACCCCTGAGGTGCTAAACCACAAGACAGGAGAAGAGCACACTGTGCGTGTGTGTGGAACACAGACTTTAGTAGCAGAAGGCAAACTAGCGGAGTGCTACAGTAAGAGACCCAAGAAGTCACTGACCCCAGGCCCACAACCCCAGAACCAGGGTCTGCTACTCCAGCAACCACTAAACTATCATCACCCAGAACCTGGGTCTGCCTGGAATCTCCTCAAACCCTAAACAGCATACAAGGTCAAGCCTTAAAGTTCTCAACTGAGGCCTCTTGAGCACCTCCATCAACACAAAGAAGCCTGTTCTGGCCCTCCAGAGCACAGGCTCTCCAGCTGAGCACAGCCACTAACCACAGGGTACACAGGCGCATGCATGTACCCACACACACCCAGCACACACACCGGGAGACGGGGTGGGAGAATGCTGTGGTGGCTCGAGTAAGAACCCCAAAGGGTTGCACATGGCTGAATCCTTGGTCTCCAGTTAGTGGACAGGTTTGGGAAGGATCGGGAGGTGTGGCCTAGTTGGAGGAGGTGTGTCAGATGCAGGCAGGCTTTAACTCCTGCCCTGCCGTTCCCTGCCACCATGGGCTTCAGTCTCCTGGAGTTGTAAACCCAAATAAGCACGTGTGCGAGCTGCTTTGTTCATGCTGCTTTATCACAACGATAGAAAAGAAACTCGGGTGAGAGGCACATAGAACCACTACTGTGAAAGTCACCAAGTTCTGGGACGGCTTGTAGCTCAACAACACTGTAGGGAAAGGTTCTGGGGAAGGAGTTTCCTAAATGGAGAGGGGGCTGGCTGTAATCTATCCCTAAGACAACAGAGCAGAGCTCCACAGACAGCCTTTCCCACAAGGCCAAGGCCCCGTACCCGGGCAATTCCTGAGTAAGCTCATTACCACACGGCTGGTGTCATCCCCAGCCAGAAAAAAAAAGCAATCCCCATCTGAAAAGGGAAGCTCAGGATTTTGCTGGCAGAATTTGTTCTCTGAGGAAAACACACCTCCTTGACAGGAGGGGGAGGGGAGAAAACAAGAAAATGCCAACCACCCTGAGAGTTTCCTTTGTAGAAAAGACTGGGCTAGCTGAGAAGTCACAGCCTCAAATCAGAAAACCTGCAGCTTCTCTGTATCCCTGAGGGGAAGCAGAACCTGGCTGCAGGAGGCCCAGTGGTCCCCAGGGCACCTTCTCTAACATAGAGGAAGGTCAAGAGATAGCTACACAGGACACACGCATGACCCCTCTAGGGGAAGAGGACCAGTCATCAGCACGGTTACAGCCGTGAATCCCCAGTCCATGAGACATGAGGAACAAATGCTGAGAAAGGCAATAGCGGTCCCAGGGGCAGGTGTGCCGAGCCCTGACTGAGACCCTCGCAGGCCTTCATCTCCTCCCGTAAGGGGCTGAGATGTTGAAACAGGAGCAGAATCTTCTTCCCTCTGCTCCCCTGTCTCTCAGACAACTAAGAGTGAAGACTGTGTGTCCCCCAGTCAGGAAGCCTGACATAACTGAGGGCGATGTCTGGAGACCAGAGGCATGCGCTATGGCTGGCATGTGTCCCCCAAACCTCACACTGAAATGTGACTGACACTTAACAGTCGTAAGAGGTGGGAACCCCAAGAGAGGATGTGGATGCAGGGGCCCCGCTTCATGACTGTATTGCGCTGTGCTCCTGGACAGGTTACAGTCATGAAGAAAAAAATAAACCAGGCAGACTCTTCTGTCTCTCCAGCATACTCCTTTGGCCTTTCTGTCATGGGACACACAGCAGAAAGACCCTCAGCAAGCTCCCTGCCACTCTGGAAATGACAGCAATGTCTATATTTCACAAACCTGAGGTAATCGGTTAAAGTAACTAAAAACGGATGACGAAACTAAAACACTGATTTCTCTAAATCACAAAAACCTTTGCCAGCTAGGTCTGGGACTCAGGAGTCAGATTGATGCGCAGAGGGTGCGTGCCTCGCCGGCTCTGGTGGCTGTGTCGTCTGAACTTTCTCCATCCTTCTCATCAGAGACCAGGCCATGTCTCTAGGTCTCAGTCTAACTTTCCAGCCTCCACACACACTCAAATCTTACCTTGTTTCTTTCTAATCTGGAATGAGATTTAGAAAAGCTCCAGTTATTTATAATATTTAATCACATAAAGGTCAGAACTCTTAATAACTAACCAAAACAACCAGCTTGAGCCTGGGCTCTGAGAATACACCAAACCTTTCCGCCAACATGGCCAGCTTCTTGAACCGTAAGAAGTCCAGTGAAGGTACCCAAAAGAGCCTGGAGTCAACACCTTCATAGAAGTTCTTCAGTGGGTTCGGACAGCAAATGCTTACCGCCATGGACGTCTAAGGGAAAGGCCTGCACGGCCATGGACAACTAAGGCCTCTCTAAATCCAGAATCTCAGAAATGAGCCTTGAAGGAAAAATTAGTGGCCAACTCCCACATAAAATGTTTGCCACCCATAACCACATCTCCTTTACGCTCAACACTGCTTTTTGCAGGTACACACAAGAACCTTTTACTTTTTCACTGTGAAAAGCTGTAAGCTCCATCCAGATGAGATGGTAATGAGGCTGTCTAGTTACTGCTCTATTGCTGTAGAGACGCCATGGCCAAGCCAACCTATAAAGAAAGGCAGTCTCCTTAGGTCAGTCCACAACATCATCATGGGCTGGGGGGCGGGGGGAGAGCAGGCATTGGAGCAACAGCTGAGAGCTCACATCTTACTGGAAAGTTCAAGGCAAAGCAAGGGAGACTGGGCCTGGCACGCGCTTTTGGAACTTGAGCACCCACTGGGGTCCCAGTGACACCTCTCCTCCAATAAGGCCACATCTCCTAAGCCTTCATGAACAGCCCATCAACTGGAAACCAAACACCCACATATTCAGACCACACCAAAGCCTGGAGGAACGTCAGGACAGTTCATAAAGACCACGCTGCACTGGCTGCCTGAAGAGCAGTGGCGGCAGAGGGGCTCGCTCAGCCATTCCTAAAGGAGAGTTGTCGTGGAAACGGCCTGCTGGGGCGCAGATGTGGTCCAGCACATACCTAGCACATGCAAGGCCCGGCAGCTAAAATATCTCTTGGTAGGTCAGACCTGCTGCTTGACTATGGTGCCTGGAGGTTAGACAGAGTCTAGCTACAGTCTCAAGAGGAACAATTTGTGCATCAAAGTCCAAGAGCAGCTGAACATCGACCCAGGAAGGTGACTAGATTTCAAGTAAGTGAGAAAGACCATCTGAGAGCATTTCTCTACTATATATATATTCATCCTGTGCTCTCTGGGAAAGCAGACAGTGGGTACTTCGGTTCTCTCTTTCACACACACACCCTAATAGGAAGCAGAGCCTGACCTCTCTGTGCAGGCTGGTGGGTGAGCAATACCAGCCACCTAGGGCTTCTGGGGCCTCTGAGGAGGAAACGCGGTGTGCAGCGCCCTACCACACTGGGAGAGGTACAGAAAGAAAGGGCTCTGCCTCCCGGGCCCAGCTTCTGCAGCACTTACTGTACTTCAGATCCCCGGAGAGAATTCATTAAAATAGTTCTATGATGACTTAAGTACTTTGTGCTTTAAACCTGAATAGCTATTACCATTTTCTTTCAAGCCGTTCTGGCAGTGAAAGATGAAGTCCTCACAAGCTCCGCGCGGTGCTCGGCTCTAGAGCCCACTGTGCTCAGTGTAAGCGCACACTCCCACCACAGCTGAAGCTCAGCACCCCCCCTAGTCTCTCCATGAAAACAAAGCCCCTGCCTAGGTCTGATGTTTAATGCCTGGCCTATGTCAATCACCATCCCTGTCACTACGGGATGCTTCACGGGTCTGGACCAGGGGAGTAAGTTAGTAGCAGGCACGGCAACCTGCTGCTCTGAACCTGGCAAACCCTCGGCCTGGAGCTCATTCTCCTGACGGTGACCCGGGTCACAGAATCCCCACCTTTCCTCTTGGGGCCGCGACTCAGCTCCCGAGTAAATCACACATGGAGGCTATTTTCATAGGTATGAATGCCTGGATTCGGCTTAGCCAGCTT